TGGTCAGAGCTGAGAAGACCAGAAAATTGATAGAAATCCTATCAGTAAAGATCAAGCTTGGGAGATTTCTGCTGGGAACCAGGACTACACTGGTTGTTGGGCTCCAGACAATATGTGTTATGACTTGGCATTTTCTGCATTTTTCTCATGTCCAGATACTTCCTCTAAGAAAGGTTTAGGACAATGGTCTAGTTAATCTGGCAAAAGAAATTTCAAGGCAATATAGTTGTATGGTGGCAAGGCTACTGTTAGGGGCTTTAAACCAGATTTTTATGTTTAGAATCAAGAGCAAAGAGCCCAGCAGAATGATTTAAAATGTTTTAGTTTGACCAGAAAGGAAGCTGCAATAAAACTGTGGGCTACAAAGATAGAACTGGGGAGGTCTTGATTTCTAAAAGGAACTGAATAGAAAAGATGACCTGAGGGCAACACAAGAAGCAACAGGACTCCACCCTTTGTAGCCTCAAAACTGCAAAAGTGAAAGACTGTTTTGAGAAGTGAGCCATATTCCAGAATGGCAGTGGCCTAGAAAATTTGTTGCTTGGGATTGGGTGCAAAGTGCTCAATAAATCAGGCACTTGATCCCTACAGAAAAGAGAGAGGGAAGCCAGAATACTGCTTCAGCTGGCTGCAGATTTTGGCATCATCTGCCTCCATGTGGTTCTTATTTTAGCAACACACATAATGTAAGGGTTGCATCAGGAAAGCTTCCACCCAAAGTTCAGAAGGAGGCCTGGGAGGCCAGGCAGTATATCTGAGGGTGTAGTGTGCACCTGAGAGTGCACTGTGTGAAGCTGTGAATGTGAACCTGAATATGCAGTAGAGACCAGAAGTTTGGAGAGGTCAGGAACCTGGATAGTCTGTGGAAAACTTCAAGGAGGGAGCAGAGCTGGCCCAAGTAGGAACCAATGGGAGCTACAATCACTGGAAGTGCCATTCAAGTCCTTTGGAATTCACATCTTGTCATGGATTGCCTTTGCTTTGGATGCTGCAATGGAACTGCAGGACTTAATGTTTTGCCTACTGGATTTTGGACTTGCTTTGGTCCCATTCCTTTGTATCTCCCTATTTGTACCTTTCTGAATGGTAATGTCCATCGTGAATTATTGAATGTTGGAAGTGTTTAATTTTCTTTTCATTTGTACAGGGAATTTCAGCTATGAGTTTGTGTTTGCACCTCCCTTGTCCCAGAAGTCTCCTGGCTTGGCTAAACTCTCTGGTTCCTACCTCATGCTCCTAGCTTGCACCTGGTGGCCCTATTTCCTCTCCTGCATGGGAGTCTGTAAGAAGTGGTGAGAGGAGTGGAAAGCAGTGGTTTCTTCTTGTTAAATAACCCTTTAAAAATCCATAGGGTTCTAGACAGATATGTGCTGGTTTGCTTTTTCCTCTAGCCTTGCTTTAAACTGCTTTTGCACCTTCTCCCAAGTGTGTAAATTTACAGTTCCTTCTGTTTCTTGAACAAACTCAAGAAATTTAGTAAGTCATTCAATCATAGGCATCTCCCTAATCTTCGCAAAGCTTTAAGCATTTTAATATACAAAGAATAAAATTTAGATCCTGGATTCCCCGTTGTTTCACACCCAGCAATTCTTCAGTGTACCAAATATCTCAATCTTGTTGCTTATACTCATGGAGTGTCTCCTTGTCTCAGCTTACTGAGTTTCCCCATGCTCAGGCCCCACATTGGGTACCATCTGCCTTGACCTGCACAGACAGCAGGGTCCTGATAGGGGGTAACAGGAGATTAAGAAAAACAAGAAAGAAAGTTAGGGCCAGGTGGGACTTGGCCTCTCTGATGGAGAGGCAGCAACAACCCAGCACAGGCTGTGTCTTTATTTATACATGGTAAAAAAGGGGGAAGTGTGAGACAGGACCAAAAGTGCAAGGTCTTAATGTTTTGCTGAGAACACTAAAAGCAAAACATTCTCAGAACTATCCATGCTGCAGTTAACAGGGAAAAACACCAAGGCTGGACACTCATTGATATGCCACTGAGTTAGAGATCAACTTGTTTACATGGTCTGCCTCTGGAAGCCCATATTCTTGGGGCTGACCTTGCTCTGTCCCCAAATATGAAGTCAATCTCTGGCTCAGCCATGACTCAGCCACTCCTCACAGCCTAAAACTCAGAGAAGACTTTGGATTTGGATTTGTAAGCAATATTGAAACTCTTAGGAGTTTGCATAAAAGAATGTACGCCACCCTCACCTGATTATGGACTGAAACTTCTGAAACTTCTGAGCCAAATTAACCTTCCCTCCTTTAACTTTAGGTGTTGGGTATTTTGTCTCAGCAATGACAAAAATGACTAAGACAAGGGCTGATGTCTACAACCAACAGCTACTCGGCTGCTCCTGCGAGAGGCTGTAGGAAGATGTGTTCTGTCTTCTTGCCTTCTCCAGTTCTGGAGGCCATTTGCTCTCCTTGGCTTCTGGTCCTAGCCCACCTTTTATTTATCAACACCAAAAGTAATTATTTGTTTGAAAATGATCAGAAATTTCTCTCATTTGGTAACAATTAGCGTGGGGTCATGGTCTCTGTGTTGACCTGATTTTTTTGTGGACTTATTTTTGTCTTCTCTTGTGTCACCATGGCCCCTTGCTTCTTTTGCCCTCTGAGACCCTCCCAGTGCTGCTGTGCTCATGATAGGCCAACTGCATAGCTCAGGTGGTTTACTTGTTTTAGAACCGTCAGTCTAATCACAGCTGCCTACTCCCTTTGGCTGCAGGAGGGGCCATGTTGACAGGTCCCAGGGATTAGGCTGTGGACATCTCTGGGGACCACTATTCATTGCTCAGCTCCACAGTGAGTATCCCCTCTACGTGGTCAAGGGTCATCCAAGCTCATCTAAGGGAGGGCCTTGGAGTGGCCTGGGGTAGTCAGGACAGCCCCTGGGGTGATAGGACAAGGGCCAAAGAAGGTGGCTTCTGTAGACCTCTTTTTGGACCAGGCTGCTGAGGAGCCTCCTGAGGGCTTTGATGCTGTGGTGGCCAAGGGGCCCTCACACACTGGTAAGGGTGGGACATGTGATCCATTTGAGGCCACTGGGGTGGAGCATGACCACATCAGAGCTCATCTTGGAGCCAAGGTAAGAGGATGGAATCTGAGTCAGTGTCCTGGTATGAGTTCTTGGGGCTGAACATGGGAGGAAGTGGGCGTGGTGGCATTTGCTGGAATCCCAGCACTCTGGGAGGCTGAGGCAAGAGGATCACAAATTCCTAGACTGGGCAATTTAGTGATTTAAGAAGACTCTGTCTCAAAAAAAAAAAAATAAGGCTTAGGGTTGTAGCTTAGTGTGAAGACCCTGGGTTCCAGCACTACACATGTACACACACACACACACAGTGGGAGGAAGAGAGGTCAGGTGCTGCTATGTGTCGGTTGGCTTGAGTGTGTTCCCAAGGGTTCCTGTGCTGGCACTGAGTTACCACTGCAAAGTATAGAGAGTGGTTAGGATGAGACCAGGTCATCAGGATGGGGCCCTCATGACTGAATTCTAGTGGCTTTATGAGAGGGACCATATGATGTCCATATCCCTGGGGTCCCTGCTATTGGGGAGGCCACTGCTGGATGCATCCTTCAGCCTTGAAATAAACTATGAGTGCAATAAGTGGAACTCTTAAATAAAATTTTTCCTCAGGCATCACAATGAGAACTTGACTGACACAGGTACTGTGTGCTCAGCATGGGGCTGGGAGCCAGGGGTGGGAGGCCAAGCATCTAATGGGCACAGTATGCTTGTGGTGGGGGTGCAGCCGGGCAGATGGGAGCCAGCCCCAGGCGGCCTTGTGGAGCCAGTGCACATGCTAAGTGCTCTGGTCAGAATGCAGCAGAGCTGTTACTTGGGTTTGCAGGCAGTGGTCAGGAAAACAAAGACCCCAGGATACAGAAGTAGGCTGGACCTTGGACCTGTCCCCTGCTGTAGGCTGCTGGGGAGGGGCAACAGCTAGGGTCCTGTGGTCCTCAGGCACCAATGGAGTCCAGGGGGAACATGGGAGTTGGTGCCCCAGGGAAGTGCCACATCTGAAGCTCCAGAAGGGTGGGCAATGGTGGTTTCCCTTGTGCCAGCTGGGTCCTGGGCATATTAGAGCAGCATCACTCTCCCCAGCCACCTTCAGGCCACCACCCACCTTACTGGTAAGTTGGGCAGACAAGATTTACCCAAGCTGGTTCCACCTGGTAACCAGTGTGTGCTGCTGGCTGGTCATGGCTGCTCCCAGAGAACGAGGAACTGGGCCAGGTAGCAGCCAGCACAACACAGCAGGCCCTCAGTGCTGCATCTGTGGGTGCTGATGGGCCACATATTTCTGCACTATCCTGTCCCAAAGACCTGATGGCTCTTCCTCCCAAGCAGAGCCCTGACTTGCCTTCCTCTTCCTTCACGGCTCCTCCTTAATCCCTCTCCTGCCCAAATCCTTTTTACTCCAACAAGAAGGAGAGATGGGGCCCTGGGGTACAGAAGCTGATTTTAGGCCCACAGCCCCTGGCATAGGGAAACAGGCACCACTATTTTGGTGCCTGTTGTCTGGGTTCTAATCTTGCAGCCATAGTCCACTGGCTGTGCAAACCTAGGCAGTTAGAAGGCTTGATTTCCTTAGCAGTAAACAGGGAGAGTAATGGTGTTTCTCCAAGAAGACTATGAGAGGGGGGAGGCTTAACCTGTAGCTGGGGGTTGGGTCCCTCACCTCCTTGGCCTTGTCCAGCAGTAGCTCTTGGGAGCAGCTGCTAGAGGAGGAAGCCAGCCATAGAGCGCAGGTGGTGGCTGGCTTGGGTCTGGACTCTGCTGTTACCTGGGGACTTAGTGTCCCTAGCTGTGATGGCCTGAGTTGTGGTTCACTTCCTCCTTGGCTCTCATAGAAGATGAGGAGCCTGAAATCACCCTCTGATTGGTTGTGTTCAGTTTGCTATCTTGTCAATTCTGGGAAGGGGTGGACATGAGGTTTTTCTCTAAAACTCTCAGGAATATTTAAATTAGAGCAGGAGGAAAGAGGGAGCCGAAGTAAGAGAGAATTTTCTTTTTCATCTTACAGTACTGGGGATCAAGTGCAGGACCTTTGCATCCTGATCCCCTTTTTATTTTGTATTTTGAGACACGTTTTTGCCAAGTTGCTGAGAGTGGGCTTGGAACTTGCAGTCCTCCTGCCTCAGCCTCCGAGAGCACTGAGACTCCACCCCAGCCAACAAAGACTTTTGTAAAGTGCCAGAGTGAACTGTGGGAGACAGGAAGGTTGGGATAGCAAGGAGGTGGAGGTGGGGATCACAGCATGTGGCTCCCAGCTGAAGTCAGTGGCCTCGGAGAGGAGACTCCACTCAGATCCCATGTGGCGACCCTCTCCTGGTACAAGGCCTGGGCCCATAGTTGCCTTGGTCTTCAGAGCCCATTTTTCTCTTGCGCAGCACCCTGAAGTGGCATCATCTGCTTCTGCTGTTCCTGCTGTTGCTGCCTCAGTCTCCCTGCCCGCCTGGGGGGAGGGAGGGAAGCAGATCTCTGAGTGTGTGGCCGGACAGGAGAGTCTGGTGGGGCTGTGTAGGGCAGGAGGCAGGCCTGGCCCAGGGCCCTACCTGCTGTCCAAGTCCTCTACAGTGTCGGGCAGTGGCTGGCCCCGTGTCTCGGGCAGCAGGGCCGTGACAGCACTGGCAGCCACAGGTACGGCACCGAAGATGAAGAGAGGTGCAGTGGGGTAGAGCTCAGCGGTCATACTCACCAAGGGGCTCACAATGCTGCCCACACGGGCCAAGGTGCTGCCCACGCCCAAGCCTGTTTGCCTGTGGGTTGGGGATTGGGAATTTGCCACAGCCAGAATACTGTTCCAACCCTGTCCTATGCCACCGCCCTTCCCCATATCTGAGCAGGAGTTTTGACCCTTATTTTGATGATTTTAAAGAGGAAATTGGGAGTCTTGAGACTGGATTTTGTGTTAGCCCTTAACTTGCTGTGTGACCTTGGGCAAGTCCCTTTCCCTCTTGGGTCTCAGTTTCCTGAGCTGTCGAATGGGAGGTTTGTTGAGAGGATTAGGTTGAGGGCTAACAGATTACCTGTATGACTGGGGTTTCATGGCCCCAGCCCCACACAGAACCATTGGATAGGGTCCTTCCTGGGAAAGATTGGGACTCTACCCATTAGGAATATGTGAGAAGCATTCGTAGGGAGAGGAGGCAAGATGTGGCCTCAGAGAGCAGCCTGTTTGGGGCTCAAATACTAGCTCCGTGACTTCACTGGCAGAGTAGTCTTGGAGAAGTCACCAGACCTCTGTGCTTTCCTATTTGCATTCATGAAATGGGAATAATGGTGGTGTCTGCATCACTGGCTGCTCGTGAAGATAGGTGAGTTAATCCTGGGGAAAGTTCATGACAGCACCTTGCACAGGGTGAGTACTTTACATTAGCACTCTTTCCTGGATCTTGCAAGGACACAGCATCTGGGACCACGGCCAAGGGAAATCTGGCATTTCTTTTATATCTTGGTGAAATTTGTGTCTGGCTCTCAGAATAGGCAGAAGTTTCTTAAGCACCTCCCTCATTTTTAGGCTCCAAAGGGCTGGCATATTTCTGTAGTCCTTTAGTCAGCGTTGCTCCTGTTGTTGGGAGGATGTTTTTGTATTGATGTCTTTCATTACACATACTTGGCTTAAGACATAGCTCTGATTGGTACAGCTTCTACCTTGTGTTTGGGGACCCTCCCTTCTGCTTCTGAAATGTGTCACTGCTCCCCACCATGCCTTAGTTGGGGACCTCTGGAGTTCTGAGGCCAGGTGTCCACACACTGCCAGACCTGAGTTACACACTGAGTGGCTACCATAGGTGCGGGGTCTGATTTTGTGCAGGATGATGTCTCTCCCAGCCATTCCCCCTTCCCCACTCACCGGATTACAGTGGGGTACAGCTCCCCCGTGTATAGAAAGATGCAATTGAAGGAGGAGGCCAAGCACCCTTTCCCTAGCACAGCGAGGGAGGTGCGGACAATTGTCTGGTCTGGGGAGCAAAGAGAGGACAGGTTGGGAATGGGACTGGGAGGAGGACCATGTTCAGGGTGGGTCAAGTTGCGATGCTCACCCCGGGGAATCACTGCATTCATTAGGATGCAGATGCCCGCCAGTAGGAGGGAGGCTGCCTGTGCTGGCCGGCGGCCCAGGTAGTTGATGACCAGGAAGCCCACAAGCTTGGCTGGCAGATCTACAGCACCGAAGATCACCTGGATCAGGTAGATGCTAACCCCGAAGCCCTGCAAGTCCATGACCAGCCCGTAGTAGGCAAAGCTGGTGGCAAACCTAGCAGGGGAAGGAGGGGCTGGTTAGGAAGCTTATGAAGGGGTGGTAAGAAACAGAATGACCAGCTGGATGTCTTGGTAATGTCTCTTTGGATTTTAGGTGCACACATAGTTGCTTACTTGAGCAACAGGGTGGCCCTGAGCACTGGAGCCCCAGCCTCCCAAAAACCAAGTACCCATATATTGGTTCATGCAGTCACTGTCCAAGAATCATGTGGTTTCTGTCTTTATCTTATCTGCTGATGCCAGGCTGAGGGAGGAGGTCAATGTCCAGGTCATACTTCAGGACCAAGGTGCTGGGGAGGGATAGCATGTCTGCGACCTGTCTGTGGTGCTGGGATGGCATTCTAGAAAGACATTAGGAGCTCACAAAGGGGAACGGAAGTTTTGCACCAAATCCACAACTGAGGGAACCCTGGGCTGAAGCAAGGTTGCTCTTTCCAGTGTGGGACTTGATGATGGAGAGAAGGTGGGTGTATGCATAGGGAAGGGTGCTCTGTGGTCTGTAGTCTTGGGCCAGTGTGTCCTTGAGATGGTGCTGGTCCTTGTATGTCTGTTTCTAGCAGGCATCAGGAACCAGTTACCCTTGGGGCTTCGCAGGATCCTGTGGTTTGTGCTCTGCTACCTTGGAGGCCGTTGGCCTGGTAAGATTGGAGCAGAGCTGGTGAGGAACCAAGACCCAGTTGGTGCTACTAGGCATTTGGCCTGGGACATCCTTGGGTGGTGGCTGTACCATTGCATAGCAAATCAGTGGACCCTTCCTCCCTTTCCTGGCATCTCCTTGCCAGCTCTGTCCCTGGGGTAGGTGGTCCCCCATGTATCAGTGAATCTGTGTGTCCGCACCCAGCCTACCACAGCATGGAGAGGCAGAGGAAGAGGCGGCGGAGGGCAGGGCAGCGCAGCAGGTCCATGGCAGAGGCCTGGCCTTTGCCCAGGGCCAGCTCCTTCTGCAGACTGGTCCGGAGCACCTGGGAATAGGGGGTGCTTAGGCCTTTTGCAGAAGCCTGAAGATGTCCCAGGCTCTGATCTGAGAGATCTGGGGTCCTCACCTCTATGCTCAGCTTGGCCCCCTCTGCCTGCTTCCCATTGATCCGAGCCACTCTCTGCAGGGTGCTCAGTGTGAGGTCTAGCCTCCCACGGGATGACAGCCAGCGAGCCGACTCGATGAAGAACCTGTGGGTCGGCAGGTTCAGTGGTGGGACTGGGTTGGGTCTAAGCTGGGGCTGGGCCTTGGGGGTTTCCTAGGGTTGGGGTTGGGGGCCTTGCTGAGACCTTCTCCTGAGAACCTTGGGGCAGAGCCTGGTCCCCAGAGCTAGCTCTGTGCCTGGTGGGCTGGGGACTGGAGTGTGTGCACTACTGGCTTGGGTGACCTCTGTGTGTGGAGTACTGGGGGCCTGGAGAGGCGGCTGATCCCTTGCCTCCCCCGGGTCCCACAGCACCACTTCCCTGGCCCGCACCAGGAGTACAGGAAGAAGGCGTAGAAGGGCGCGGAAACCAGGAGCTGCAGGTGGCGCCAATGTGGCGCGGCGTAGGCCAGGCCGGCCAGCACGAACTGGCCCAGGCTGTAGCTGTAGCCTATCAGGGTACCCACGTAGGCACGCATGTGAATGGGCATCCACTCCACATCTGTGAGAGGGCAGCACAGGGTGGGCATTGCGCTGAGCATGGGGGTGGAGCAGACCCTAGCCCAGGCTGTCCAGGTTCCAGGGAGAGTGGGTGTGAGGGGAAGGGAGAGTGAGCTGGGGCTGTTTACACTGCAGTCCTGCTCCTTCCCCATGCTCTCCTGGCCAGAGCTCCCTGTCTTCAGGGTCACTATGTCCCTGCTCCTTGTCCTGACTGACATTTCTCCATTGTGGAATCACCTGACCCTGGGAAAGATGGGACCTTGGATGTCTTGTCCCAGCCGAGCCCTTAGGTCCTGGGTTCCTTTCTCAGCTAAATCTGTTCCTCTTTCCTGAGACTTAGATTTCTCATCTGAGAGACCCTGTGCAAGTGCATGCGTGTGAGTATGCATGGATGTGGGTGCACACGTGTGTGAGCTGTCCTGTGGTGCAGGCTTATGTGATGATTACAAACAACATTTCAATGTTAGAAAGCAGACATTCCATCCAGATTGCAAGGATGCAGACACTATCCCAGGCTGAGCAGCCGGGTGTGGAGGGGTCTCAGATAGCCTTGTCCCCCTTGACTCAGTCCCCATCATTCCCTCTGGCCTGGCACAGCCCTGTCTCAGCCATGCTGTGACCTGCGGATCTGAAAGGGTTATCTCAGTCTCTGTCTAAATGAGGGATCAGGGGGCCCAGAAGGAGGCAGGCAGAGAGTGGGGTGGGGTCGGCTCGCACTTATCGTCATGGAGTTGATGGCAATGCTGGCCAGGGACATGCCCGAGAGCAGTCGAAAGGTGCAGTAGAGGGGGAAGTTGGGGGCATAGGCAGCACAGGTCCCTGACAAGGCCGTCTGCAAGTAGTTCAGGATCAGCACCTTCCGGCGACCCAGCCTAGGGGAGGGAAGAGCTCAGTAGGGCTAGGTGGGGGCCAGGTGAACCCTAGCCAGGGCATGGAGGACTTGGACTACATTAGGAGGCTGGGGCCTCCTAATGGGTTCCCAAAGCAGCCCCCTGAGAAGTGGATCCCCCACCCGCTTTGTCCCAGGCCAAACCCTGCACTGACCTGTCTGCCAGGTGCCCAAAGGACATGGCGCCCAGCAGAACCCCGACCATGTAGAGGGACTGGGCCAGCTGGCGGAGTGCCCGGTGTGAGCACACAAGGTCCCACTGTGGGGAAAGGTGAGCTCAGGTTACATTGTTGTCCCCAACTCCTTGGTTCCCGAGTCCCAGGTCTGAGGGCTCTTTCTCCAACCCAGCAGCTCCCATGCCTGTGTGCATGTGTGCGTGTGTGTGTCCATGCACCTGTATAGGGTGTCTCTCTGTGGGCATGTGTGTGTGCATGTATTCCTGATGGAGCACTAATCTCACCTCTGTCACGATGGTGGATGGGAAGGTGCTATTGTCATAGACCCAGCCATCCACGCAGGGTTCCGTGGGCTCTTTGAGGTTGGCTGTGGTGTCATTGGTGAGTCGTGGTTCCCTCCATGGGGTGGCAAAGCGCAGGCAGGATTCAGGCCGCCCCTGTGCATCCTGGGGCAGCCAGGCCCCCAGCTTCCCATCCGGGCCAAGGCTGGCGTTGGGGGGCAGGCGGCAGTGGTGGATGGGGATGGCAGCGGTGAAGTTCTGCAGGGTGTTGTGGGAGGCCATCAGGAGCATTGGCAGGATCACCAGGGTGACTTGGATCTGCTGGAAGCGGCCGACAGCCCCCACCTGCTTCAGGAGGTCGTTGAAGGCCATGGAGCTGGCTGGGCTGGGGGGCTGGGTGACGACGTTGTCCCAGGGCCGCGGACTGCCCCGTCTGTCTTCTGTCCTCTGCCGGCAGCTGTGTCTGCAGCCGATGTGCTGTAGGGCTGTGGTCTAGGGCCCCTCCTCCTCCCTGGCCCTCCCTTCCCCTGCGGCTGCTCCTCACTTTGGGGTCTCAAGAGCCCTGACCCTTACACTGACAGCTTTTAATCCTTGGCCAGAGAGGATGAGTTAAAATGTGACTTGGGATGGGCAGGATTAACACTGTGTGGGCTCCCCGTGTCTGTGGAATTTCTCCAAGTAGGTGTAAAGGGCAGGAAAGGGTGGAGGAGGTAGGGGAGGGGAGAGGGGCTGTGCTGGCACCTGGGAGCAGAAAGGGACAAAGTGGGCCCTCTCCCTTGTAGTGAGGTGACAGCACTGAGGAGTGTGGTGGCCTCTGTGTCCTTTCTAGTGGACAGGATGGGAACAGCCTCTTTGGGAAAGATTTCCAGAGAAAACCTGAACTTTAGATCAGTGAATATTGCTTGAAAAATGTGGATTGTCTCGGACGCTGCACTGAACATACTCCAAGACCCTTGCTAGAATCAAAGTTTGCCTGGCACCTTGTGAAGGTTTTCAGCAGTGGGGAGGAACCACAGCGTCAGAGGCTGCCCTCAAAGCACGGGACCTCAAGTCAATGTGCTCATTCAGCTTTTACCGCTTTCTTTCTTTCTTTCTTTCTTTCTTTCTTTCTTTCTTTCTTTCTTTCTTTCTCTTTCTTTCTTTCTTTTTCATCTGTTTGAGCTAGGAATCACGCTATGCAGTTCAGGCTGGTCTTGAACTTGCAATAATCCTCTTGCCTCAACCTCCTGAGTGCTGGGATTACAGGTGTACACCCCCATGCCCAGTAGCTTTCACCTTCTTGATGGTTCTGATTCTAATTTTCCCCATTGTCATGTCTCTTGTCTACTATTTTTAAGTAGTGAGCATACTTTCATCTCATTTTTAGCTGCAATGCTGACACATCCCTTCAGTCCTCTTATGACTCCAGCTCCTGGTCTGGGATTCTGGATGAGTTTCGCTGGATCATGGACTGGAGACGCTGAGAGCAGGCTGCACCTTCTGTGTCTGCCTGGCACCATGTGTATGTTATATAAGAAATGGCTTCCTGGACTCAAACCCTCCCTCCACCCTCGCTGGCTTGGTGACCAGGACCAAGTCACTTGACTTCTCAGTTACTGGGTGGCCTGAGCTGCAAGAAAGGGATAATCACTGGAGTGGTTGGAGTGTCAAATGGGCTGATTCAGGTAAGGAGTGTCAGGAAGCTTCTAGCCAGGTGAGGCGGTGTGCACTTGTAGGGCCAGCTACTTGGGAGGCGGAGGCAGGGAGATGGCTTGAGCTCAGGAGTTTGAGACCAGCCTGGGCAATATGGTAAGAGCCAATCTCGAAAAATGAAGAACCAAATAAGACTGAAAGAGAAGTTTCTGCCCTAGAGTGCTACAATTATGGATCCTTACTTGTTTCTGGTTAAAACAAAGCAAAGCAAAGGAAAACAAAACAAAACAAAAGAGACTATCACATTGATTTTAGAGAGATAATATGCTCAAGCTCATCTTACCCTAAAAGCAGTGACTTTTCCTCCTGGGTGCCTTTGCCTCTCTTAGCACTGACTAGAGACATTCTTGGTGGTCACATTTGGAGAAGTGGATGCTTTAGGCTTTCAGGGTCTGGATGCAGGGGTGGCATCAATGCCCAGAGTCACCTCAACTCTCATGTTGGTAGTGGGGATTAAGAAACATGGCCCTAGATTTATGCCATATGGTGACCCCCTCATTGCACAGATGAGGCCTACCAAGGCGTCTTCTCAGGGCCCTCACCCAGTGGGGCAGGGATAAATGCTGTACACTGGCCTCCCAGTGTACATGCCTCCCAGTGCATGGCTCAGTTGGGACCCTGCCTATGCTGCTCTGTTGTGTCCTGTATTGGTGGCTGGCTGAGCTGCTGTTTTGTCCTCTGTAACCTGGCTCCACTGACTGCCCCTCCAGTGTTGGGCCAGGTCAGGAAGCAAGGGCTGGCCAGGGCTCCAGCACTCAGGCCATGCACATCAGCTGGTATGGAGGCTGAGGGAGGACCCTTCTTTTGGTGGGGGGAGGGTCTACTAGGCCCAACCTCCTCCTCGCCTCCCAGGATGCAGTTTGTGTGTTAAGTCACCAGGGTCCTTGGTGTCTACAGAGGCCTGGTTCCCTGGAGGCCCTGTTCTAGCCTCTGTCTCATGTCAAAGTTGGGTTCCTAAGAGTGGCTCTGGAGGTTTAGACTGCGGGTGGAAGCATCTGGTGATTTGGTCTCATGCACAGAAGAGAACAGACAAGGCCTGAGGGGGCTCAGCTTAGCCCCCTGCCCTGTGCTGGTTCTGTCCTGCTTGGTGGGGTTCAGATGTCTGAGAGTGGTGTCCATGCCAAGGTACACAAGAGCCCGAGGCCTGGGGAGATGAGGACAGCTGGACAAACAGCTTGAGGCCATGGGCCAAGCTCCTGCAGGACCTGGGGCACAGACGAGGGCTGAAGACAGCAGGGTGACCTCCCCCATGAGCAGTCCCTGACTGTGCCCAATGGAGCAGCTTAGCCTGGTGCATCTGAGAGGCCCTGCAGGAGGTGGATGTTGGTTTCGCCAGTGTGGGCTGACACGGACATGGGCATACATCTGTGTCAGCTCAGTTGTTCCCACATCTGCACATGCCACACAGATAGCAGGCATGTGGCCTGCATGTCCCTGTCCCCAGCCTGAGCTGCATGGCCTGAGTCCTTATTGCCATTTATTGAAATTTCCCATCTAAAAGAAGGTTTAAGGGCAAGAAGTGGATGCTGTCTGTTAGGGCTGGACCATGAACCTTGGGGAAGAGGCGGGCCCAAGGGACAGCAGGGCCAGGGCAGGTGGGAGGCTGGGTTGGCAGTAGCTGAGGCCCTGGAAGAGGAGGTGGGTGGTCTCACTGCACCCTCAGAAGGCTGTGTGTGGTGTGCAGACCCTCTCCTCCAGGCCCCTTTGCAGGGCCCATGGCAGGCAGGCCCTTGCTGGGTCGGTGTGGGGGGCCAGGTGGGCTCCTCCCTCAGCTGGGGCCCAGGCCCTCTGTGCATGATTTCAGAGGTGTCTTCTGGGCTTCCTTCTCTGCTTCCAGCTCCAGCTTTGTCTCCTTTGCTGGTTTGCACCTGGAACAGAATGTGGCACCAGCCTGAGTCCCGCTTGCCACCTGGGGCCCCGGTGGGCAGAGGCAGGAAACTCACCACTTCTGTAGATCCTCAAAGTTCTCTGGCAAAGGGCGATTGAGGGTCTCAGGAAGGAAGAAGGCAGCGCTGCCCCCCAGGAGTGCCATGGTCCCATACACAATGTTGGGGATGAAAGGCTGCACCTCGCCCGTGATCTTTACCAGAGGGGCCATCATGCTTCCCACACGGGCCCACATGTTGCTGATGCCCAGGCCAGTCTGCCTGGAAAGTGGTTAAGGGCCAGGACTGTCAGGCTAAGGGGCTGGGGCCCCTGGGCAGAGGCAGGAGGATGCCCCACCTAGCCCGGTGTCCTTTGGCCTCAGGCCGCACACCTACCGAATGACTGTTGGGTAAAGCTCGCTGGTATAGAGGAAGAGGCAGCTGAAGGAGCTTGACAGGCATCCCTTCCCAAACACAGCCAGCGCTGTCCTCAGGATGTACATGTCTGCGGGACAAGGACGTGTCAGGGGCCGTGGAGTTCAGAAGCACTTGACTGTTCTTCCTTAATACATCTTTTTCCCCTGTTTCCTCTGACTGCCAGGAAGCTCAAATCCAAACTGGAAGGTAACACCCCACTGCTACTCTGGACGCTTTGCATGCTGTGTGTGTAGCTGTATTTTTTCCTCTGATCTCTGATTCTCTGTTTCCCACTTATATTTTATTGTATGCGTCCGTGCCCTAGAAGGTCTCAAATTCTCCAGAAGACTGACTGATGCCACATGCAGAATGGTGCAGGGCATTGGCACTGCAGCCCCTTGTGGCCCTCCCAGCCACTCACCCTTGGGTGTCACCAGCAGAGACAGAATAGTCCCGCCTGCCAGGAGCAGGGTGGAGGCCTGGGTGATGTGCCGGCCTAGGTAGCTCACGGAGAGGATGGTGATGAACTTGGAGGGGATGTCCACTCCCCCAAAAATGATCTGGAGGATGTAAATGTCCACCCCAAACTCTTCCACGCCCATGGCCAGACTGTAGTAGGCAAAGCCAGTAGAAAACCTGAGGGCAGGGAGCTGGGTTGGTCTGGTGGCCAGGCTGACGCCTTCGGTGCCAGGGTGCTGAATGGCTTCTTTCTCAGTGGTGCTGTCTGCCTGCAGCTATGGGGTGTCTGGGAAAGGGCCAACGTGGTCACAGCAGAGCAGCCCACAGCCAACCCTTAAAGGTAACTGAGCAGGGGTACAGCCCGAGAGCCTGAGGCAGGAAATGTCCGTGAGAAAGGGGTGGTTCATCGGCTGTCCCTGCTTCCTCTGTGGGCCAGGACCCCTTTGCCAGGGACTGGGCTGTGGAGGTCCTGCTTCTAGGCTTTGCCCATTGCCCTGTGCGGCTATTGTGGGTAGGGAGGGCGGTGGTTACCAGCTCAGCGAGAGACAGACAGTAATGCGGCACAGGGTGGGGTTCCGGAACAGGTCCAGGATGTTGTACTTGGCCTTGGCCAAGGCGATGTCCTTCTGCAGGCTGAGCTTCAACTCCTTGGACCGTGGGGGAGGAAAGTATGGTCAGAGTGACCAGGGGACCCGAAAGAAGGGCCAGTCCCCCCACCTTACCTCTATGCTGAGCTTTTCCCCTTCTTCCTTCTTGCCATTGAAGGTGGCCACGCGCCGCAGTGTCTGCAGAGCCTTTGAGAACTTTCCAGAGAGCACCAACCAGCGGATGGACTCCGGAACCCACCTGTGGGCAGTCAGGGTGCTGTGGCTCCTCCCTGAGCTCCCAGAAAGCCTGGAGGAGTCACGGGGTGGGGGCCTGGAAGCCGGGGTCCCCCTCTGTAGGTTCTATGGGGTTCGAGTTGGGCCATTGTCCTGGGTGGTGTAACTGTCACCTTCTCCTTCCAGAGGGGTTATTCCTCTGCACCATCCATTTGTCATTGTCATCTTGCTGGGGCAGGGGTGGTATATTCAGGGCTCCTGCACCGCACCCTCATCTTCTGTGGTCATGGCCCCTGTGTCTCTTGGGAAGTGGGGGCTGGATGCCAGGGTAAGGCTGTGGATAGGGGAGTGGACTGGGGCCCCTGATTCTCCTTGCTCAGGACCAACTCATGTGTATGTGCGCATGCATATGTGTGTGTGTGGGTTTTGGGATTGGGTGTATGCATTGTATTACTCTCCCAGGCAGGTAGAGATTAGATCTGGGGAGAAAGGAGGGCTATTTGGAGGTGGGTGTGCAAGGCAGGTGGCTCCACTTTGGTCCTTGAGGGCACCTTTGGCCTGGCTCTGGGAGGCCCTAGGGCAAGGACTTTGGTGATTTTGTCTCAGACCACTGGCCGCTTGCACATTGCTTCCTGGTGCTGAGACCTGACTTGTGCTGTGCACTTCTGTATCCCCCTAAACGTCCCCAAAATGCCTGGCCCATGGCCCCAATTCTGACAGCAGTGGCTCCTGGGGAATGGGCCTCTTGGTACCAGGCCAGGCCATGAAAGTAGGCAACAGGCTGTGTCACCCATTGCCCAGAGAACACACACGTGTGTCAGAGTGGACAGGAGTGTGTCCAGCCACATCTGCAACCACCTGTCACCTCCTGACCCTGGTGGCTATGGATAGCTGGGGCGCCCCAGACTGCTGTCCCTGTAGCAGCTTCCATCTTTCATCACAGGGAAAGTCTTCTTCCAAGTCTTGGGTCCTGATCTGTTCTGTGGGGATGACATTGCTGCCATCCACAACTATGCTGGGGGCCAGAGACTAGGGGAAACAATCTCCAGGGAGCTGCATTCTTACTGAGTGCTCAATAAGTTGCCCAACATTTTCTAGGTGCGTCTGTGACTCAGGGATGCTGGTTCCAGCAGTCAGGGGGCTCCCTGCCTTCTTCAGAGTGTTTGGGCTCTGCTGTTGACAGTGAGCTGTGCCCATGACGGATCTCCTGTTGCTTTCTCCAGCCCCTTGGATTGTGTAGATTTCTCTTCCAACATGGCTCCCAGACCTCCCCACCATCCTCTTCCTGCAGTCTCCTCTCCTCTGTACGCAGGGCTGTCCTTCCATGCCAATCTGTCCAGACTCTGGCTTGCCGCGCCAAGCTGGGGCTGTTTGGCTTTCTGTGCTCTCCAGCGGCCCGATCCAACCCCGTTCAGCCCAGTGACCCACAGTCCACCCCTCTAACACGATCCCCTCATCTCCCTGCTCAAACCAGGGCTGGGAATGGGCAGGATGGGCTGTCCCTGGGTGGTCCTGTGGCATTGGGAAGGAGAGGAAAGGGTCACGTACCAGGTCAGCAGGGAGAAGACGAAGTAGGGCACAGACACGGTCAGCTGCAGCCAGCGCCACTGGGGGATGGCATAGGCCAGGCCAGGCAGGAGGAACTGGCCAGCGGTGTAGAAGTAGCCAATCGTTGTGGATGAGATGGCCCGCATAGAGGTGGGCACCCACTCTACATCTGTGGGAGGAGCCCGGGGATGCCAGTGTCATGCCAAGGCTGCAGCTTGCACCCCCCCCCCAGCAGCCTGGCCCCACCTGCAGAGCTCATCGAGGCTTGGGAGGGGGCCGCTGGGCATCTACTCCCCAGTTCCCATCCTGACAACTGTGCCTCTGGTGGCATCAGACTTTCCTTTATCTGCACACTGGACACAAATCTGTTCTTAATGAAGTTCCAGACTGAGGAGGGTCCTCAGGATTCATAGCTGCTTTTATTTTTGAGGTACTGGGGGTGGAACCCAGAGGTGTCCAGCTTTGAGCCACATCCCAAGATTGCTTTAATTTTTATTTTCAGACAGTATCTCGCTAAGTTGCCCAAGGTGGACTAGAACTTGTGATCCTCCTGCCTCAGCATCCTGAGAAACTGGGATTTCAGGTATGTATCACTGCACCTGGCCACAGCTGCTATGTGGCAGCTGTTATGCTTGTGGGACCTCTGGGGTCCTGACAAGGGTGGCTTCTTTGCCAATACCCTGGGCATCCTATGGGGGGGTCAAGCTGGGCCCACTCCTGGAGTCTGGTGGGCTCCCCTGCCCTGCACTGTGCCCCTGCTCACTCAGAATGACGGTGCTCAGGGTGACACCTGAGATGCTGAAGCCACACAGGAAGCGGAAGACCAGGTAGACTGGAAGGCTGGGGCTGAAGGCTGTGCTTGAGCCAGAAGTGGCCAGCAGGAGGAAGCTGAGGGTCAGGACGGGCTTGCGGCCAAACCTGCAGCAAGGGACGGAGGTCAGTCAGCCACACGTGCCAAGACCAGTGACTCTGCAGGTTGGGCGAAGGGCTGTGACCCCACTTTTGCCTGCTGCGCGAGGACAAAGGGGTGCCTATCACTCGCCCTGCAGACAGCATGGCTGGTAATTGCTGTTTTCCAACCAGTCTGCAGTTAGCATTGAGTTAATGAGTGACCTCTTCCATCCCCAGCTCATCTGACCATGGAGCAGGGGTCAAAGGAGCAGCCCCACAGCTGTGTTGAAGCACATGGGGACCTCGGGTCTGGGGGACCAGAAGCTGCAGCTATGAGGGCTGGGATAGGTGGTGGCCTGGACAGGTGGACCTCCCCATACCCCCTCGCTGCATCCAGCAGAGATGAGCCTCACCTGTCAGATATCTTCCCCAGCGTCAGGCCCCCAATCAGGATGCCTGCCATGAAGATCGACTGTGCCATCTCCTTGAGCTTGGCGGAGCCGCACACCAGGTCCCACTGCAGAGGTCCAGATGGGCACTGGTCAGAACCCTCCTTCCAGGCCCAGATCTCCTCTGCCTGCTTGCGTCCTATGGCCCCTGCCCATGCTGTGTGACACAGTGTCCCTGGGGCCTGTGTGGCCTCTAGCTCTCTGGCCTGACCTGTCTTCTATGCTGTCCATGTCCTGGCAGTTCCCTGCTCCCCTCTTCTCTTCCTCACACCTTGACCTTACCCCCTCCTCCAAGGGACATCACTGCTGTCTCCCACCGTGCCCACTGTCAGTCTCTGCCACAGTCCTTTCTGTGTTGCCTCCACCTCTCATCACCCCACAAAGCAAGGTCTCCTAGGAAGGAGCTGTGCCCCACATCTCACCGCTCAGAGACTCTAGAATGCATGCACCATGCTCACCACACCAGCACAAGGTCCTGTCACTCTGGCAGCAGGACCCTCTGTGTGCTACATGGCTTGTCTGCAATGTTGTGGACAGTGCTGTCCTCCCCCTACCCTAATGTCCCCTCTCTTTGCCCTACTCCCTTCTCTCTGCACAGCCACCAGCACCCCTAGGGCCCCTGGTCCCCCTCTGTCCTCCTGTCCCTGTGACACTGATGACTGCTGATACCCAAGATGCCGCCCCATTTCTCTAGCAAGCTGACTTAGCTGTTGCTTGACAACTCACTTAGGTGGCATCACTGACATGGCTCAGACTCAGAGGGACGTACCCCCTGTCCTTGCAGATCCCAAGTGAAGTGACTGGTGCCCTCTCTTTTTAAATAAATATTTAAAAACGTGTCTTGTTTGTAATAGACAAATTCTAGTAGCAGATGTCTGCGACTGCAATGTGAGATTTCGCCCCGAGGGACACACATGAAGTTTGTCCTCTTGGTTATTTTGAAGCCCAGAGGGCTCTGTGAAGTCACTGTGAGATGGATCCCAAAGTTACTCTTCTAATGGAGCCCTTCCCCCGGTCTTCCCTAGTCTGGCTCTAAAAATTCACTTTTCAGGTTTCACAGGTGAGCGAGGTCATCCTTCCGATTCGTCCCTCTCCCACTCTGTGATCCCTCAATCTCTAATCTCTAACTCACATTTCCTGAAACTGGATCTCTTCATTTCTACTGCAGCCATAGAGTGCAGGCCCAGCCCTTCTGCCCTGGGACTAACTGTGATGACCAGTCCTGTTTGAGGACTTGTGAGGCTCCAGACATTGCTATAAGTATACCACCTCTGTGATTAACTTTCTGAATCATCAACGACCTTATTATGTAGTGCCTCACAGATTGGGAAGGTGAGGCCCGGAGTCTCACTGTGATGACCTTCTGAGGCACCCTGGGCCTTTACCCTCTCTCCTGATGATTTGACAAATGGTGTTTGACACCGAGCTCTAAGCTGTCGTCTCTCCAGGAGACTCTCCAGCTGGCTGTGCCCTTTGGGTTGGCAGTGCTCTCGGGCCTCCTGCCTGGCCCTGTGGGACCTACCTGTCGGGCCTAATCTCCTGCTAATCCTTGCAGAGCCTTTTGCTCCAGCCACCCTGATTACTGGTGTAATGAAGTGGAGAATGGTATCCATCAGAAATGCCTCCCAAGAATGCACTGGAAAATGAGAAAATGTGGGAACCGAAGCTTTCAGGGTCAGGAACTTGTTCCTACTCTGCTCTAACAAAGGTAGGGAGGGCAGTGTGGACAGAGACACTGGTGCCACCTATTGTCTCCATGCTTCTGGCCTGGAGGGCCCTTCTAGTCCCTCCTAGATGTGAAGTGGCTGAGTGCTGTGCATGTGTGGGGTGCGGACAAAGGAGGGGACAGGAGAGAGAAGGAAATGAGGGTATGTGAGGAGGACAGAGGCTTCTGGGACTCTGGAGAATTGAGAAGGCGACTCACTGTCGAAATTCACTTGTCCCTCCAGGCACCCTAAACAGTCGTGTGGCTGAGTGGAGAATGAAAGCCACCTTTGTACTCAGTGCTGTCTCCTTTCTCACTGGTGGGGATGGTGAAAATGGAACTCTGGAAGCCAAGTGCTATGGATACCCCTGGGGACCCTGAAATGCTTCTCACCATGGAGCCCTTATAAGCTGTGGATTCCTGTTGACTCTTTAGGGTTAGCAACATAGCCTATCCTGATTGACCCCATAGTTAAGAGTTTCATCTCAATCTCCATGATATTTAGTGCCATAAGTGATTTGCACACACTCATGTTTATACGAGCATAAGCCACAATAGTTAAAACTTGGAAGCTGCCTGCCTGTCCATCAGCAGACAAATGGACAAAGAAAATGCTGCAATTACACACTGTGGAGCACTGTTCCGCCACCTAGAAAGCTAAACCTGAGTCATTCATAGGAAAACAGATGTACATAATGCTAGGTGAATTTAATGGCTTCTGTAAAATGAGAAGCCTCAAATATAAATAACTTAAGGAGCAAAACAAAAGCAAGAAGGCAGGAAAGAGAAGGTAGGCTCTGTGGAAATGAGAGTCGGAGAGGAGGAAGGGACGAGGAATGCATGTAGGCTCCCAGGACCAGTGTGATCTCTGGGCTTCACAAACACACGTGGATGTGTCAGCATGAAACCTGTTTGGATTAGTTCAAGGCTGCTGCCTGCCCCCTGGCTGAGACCAGATCTGCAGGGGCGTGGTGTCCACTAAGGGACTTGAGACAACGTAGACTTTAGCACAACTGTCACAGCTGGCTTCTACCAGAATCCTCAGCAACTTACAAGAAGTGTCATTCCTGGAGTGAACTTTGAGTTATGTTTAGAATGTGTCAAATCCCTAAAGCTCTCCAGGCCCAGGATCTGCTCTGCCGCCATCCTTCTCCTGGTATACCCTACTCGATCGACATCATCACCCGGCTGCCCCACACATGCTAGGCATGCTTTCTGCTCTGCAAGTGTGACATGCACCATTCTGGGTCTGGAAGGTCCTGTCCAAATGGGCCAGCACCTCCATGTCTTTCAGACCTTACTCAATGTCATCTTTCCAGTGAGGGCTTCCTGACCACCCTGTTAAAAATTGTAACTCTGGTATCCGTTTCTCTTTACCATACTCCATTTTCTCTGTAATTCAGAGGGGCTGCATAGTTTTCCATTTTTGTGGCTTGTATTTTTCTCACTGAGGACATCAGCTGGATGAAGGTTAGTCGATGGCCGCTCAATGAACACTTGTGGAACTGAATGGGATGGCAAGCTGCGGAGGCTGATATATGGTATCTATGTGAGAGGCCGCCTGGTGGACCCTTAATCTACCACTACTGGTGTTCCATAAGAAGAGGAGACATGTTCAGGGAGAATGCCATGCAGTGACCGAACCAGATTTCAGCACGGTGTGTGGTGTCCAAAGCAGGAAACAGTTAAAGAAATTTTCCACTTGCAGTGTGGTTTGCTATGCAAGGGCCCAAGAGGTGCCCACTGTGAAAACTCCCAGCAGAAGCCTGGGTTACTACGCCAGGTGTTGAGAGTGGGTCTTGTTTCCTTGGGCTCTCTCTCATGCCAGCATCCTGTCCTCACCTCCAGAAGGGTGCAGGTTGCATGGAGTTCTAGCTGCTTATTGTCTTGTTTTCTGTAAACTTGTGGAGGGCAGAGCACTCATCATTTGATTTTCAATATGGCCTTGACCATGTTGCCTGTTACCTGTTGGCAATTCTGCCTGGCATTTTGCTCCAAGTCCTAGATTGGCATTCTTGGTCTTTCTCTTTCCTTCTTTGGAGTGCAACAGAGGCCCAAAGGAGCCAGGTGAGGAGAGGAAGGATGAGGAGCTCCTCGCTATGCCTTTTTGAACAGTTAATGTACCAGGCAGGCAGCAGGGAAGAAAGAAAGCTCTCCAAACAGTGTGACAATAACGTGAGGAAGTAGGCACCTAGTTTCACAGAAAACCCCAGGCTTGGAGGGCAGGTCACGTGTCTGAGCACAGTGCAGTCATTTCAAGGCAGAGACTCACACTCAGGCCTGCAGGTTCTCAGTCAGAGTCCCTGACCTTGACCACTGCTTCTCTGGATCGATGCGTGGCCAAAGAAAGCTGCTGTGGAAAGATGTGTCCTGAGCATCATGGGATAGGGTGGCCCAGCAGGACTCAAGCAGAGGAGGCTGAGGCCAGCCAGAGCCAGGGCCAGGCATGAGGAGATGAGAGAGGCTCAGCAGCCAAGCAGCAACGGGAAACAGGTGGGAAGCATAGGGGCTGAAGCGGAAGAGAAAAGGCAGAAAGCAGCCTGTGCATATGGGAAAGAGGGCCCTTGTCTAGGTAAGGGACAGTTGCCTTATTTTGGGCCTTTTACAGCCAGGTCCCATGTTGGGGGATTACTGTTGCCCCTGTGAACCCTTGGACCTTTGAGGGACCCTGTCCTGGGCATAGGGCCAGGAGGACTGGCCAGGGTCCTGGGGGACCAAAGCCCTGCCCCTAGGGTTATATGTCCGTGACCAGGTTCCTTGGCTACTCTGTGCCTCAGTCTTTTCATCTGGACCTGTAGGACCAGTCCAAGAATGCTTGCTTCTTGGACTAGCAGATGGTGGCTGGATAGAGCGGCACTCTGGATACAGAGGCCATGTCCTCATCATTGTCTTGTCATCGAAGGCCCTTGAGCTAGCACCATACCTAGGAGCACGGGCCTCTGTAAGACAGGGTCCTGAGGTTGGCTGCCAAGAAGGCAGTGAATGTGGTCCCTGGTCCCTTCTGAGAGTCAGAAGCTGGAGGAGAAAAGGCAAGGGCTGAGATGCCAGCCAGGAGTGAAAAGATCAGAAGGCACGACAGAGATGATACAAGGTGGAGATGACTCTGTTCCAGCAGCCACTAGGTCCTCCAGGGGCACGTGTGGACATGTGTGCAGAGGTGTATATATACACATATGTGCACACATATATGCATGGGACTGTGTGCTCTTGCACATGTGTATGCCACTGTGCATGTATACATTGAGTATGTGTGAGTGCATGTGTGTTTGGGCATATAGGTGCGTGCATATATTTATGCATATGCAAGTGTGTGGATGTGTCTGTGTGTGTGCATGTGTATGTATGAACATGTATGTGGTATGTGTGCAGGAAGGCTTCTGGGAGCCCCATGGGAGCCCAGAGGATGGGGGTCGATAGTCTCCTTTAGGAGCTCACGGCCTAGCACCCAGGTTCCCCTGTTCTCCAGACTTACAAGAAAGGCCTTTGTGTCCTCTTAATGTCCTAGCAAAGCTCCTCTCCAAATCCCGACCTGGTTTCTGCTCCATGAGAAAGGAATGTGTGGTCTCCCTGCCAGGAGAGCTTAGGCTGTTGGGGAGGGGGAATGCTTCTGCCCCTGTCTGGACCCCATGTTGGGATCCCCTCTGGTTCTTCTCGACTGCCCCATGTGTGGCTGGCCAGGCCAGAAAGGATCAGGTGGAGAGCAAGGAGGGCTGCAATGTCGCTCCTCTCTCACTGGGTCCCAGCTCACTTGTAAGCACTACCTTCCTGTTCCCAGGCTGCAGCCACCACTTAGCGCCAACCACTGCTGTGCTGTGTCCTTTGATCCTTATACCCACTCTCCTAGCCCTTTTTATTGACAAGGAAACTCAAGTGTCTGGGTTTTGTGATGTCCCCAGTAACTGGCAGAGTCAGGATGTGAGCTCTGACTGTCTGGCTCCAATTCACCACCTGCTTTCTTCGTTCTTCTAGTCCCACACAGGGCACCTGCCTTTCTCTCTACCCCCTTCCTTACCCCTATCCTCCCCAACAAAGCAAGCACCTGCAGTCCCCACCTCTCAGTCAGAGTCCCCAGGGAGCTCCTACTCTGTCCCCTGGGTACTGCTACATAATCTTGAGAGATCTGGTGTGCAAGAGGGCATATGGGGCCTAGGATGCTGATTCACACAGCCAGATGTTGAGCGAAGACTGGGGTGTAGCTAGCACAGGAGTACAGATACTTGGCCTCTCATGAAGGCTGAGCTACTGCTCATGGGGACCTTGGGAGCCTACCTGGGGAGCAGCCCGGGAGGGTAGCAGCTCCCCATGACCACCAACATCTGTGTCCTGTGTAGATGAGGGAATCTGCAGACCCCACTAGGAGAGGGAATGACTCTTCACTCAGCACTTACTTGGCTCATGCCAGGGCCTCCTTGGTTTGCAGAGGTGGTGGAGACACCACCCTGTGCTGGGTGAGACCCCAAGGGGACTCTGCCTGGGTGCAGGGCACAAGTTAACCTCAATCAAAGCTGGAGCTCTGTAGCCTTAGGGGACATGGGTGCTGGGCCTGGTTCCAGGTTGATGACTCATGTCACCATTTAGAGATTCAAGGCATTGGTCAGGGGCCATGCCTCAGTTTCCCCATCCTTAAAAACAGGATTGGAACATAGGTATCAAGTGCAGAGGGCAGGGTGAGGGTGAACACAGCTCCCATGTGTGGAGCTCAGGGCCTGGGCACCAGGCAGCTGCAGTGCTGGTGAGGCTACAGTTTGACTGCAGCCCATGGGTTTGTTTCTGTGCTGAGCTCTGTACTTGCAGGCTTAATCCTTTCCCTTTGTCTTCTCAGATGCACTGCAAGGCCTCCTGAGGTGAGAGACTCCATTCCAGGCCTATCTCTGAGCCCTCCCTGCCCTTTGTCCCCATCACCAGGTCCCTTCCACTCCACCTCCATAGTCTGTCAGGTATTTATCCACTTTGTCTCTGTCCGATGTCTGGGGCAACTTGTTACCACGTCACCTGCTGTCAGAACAAAGCTCCCTGAGATCTGACCTCCACTCTGCAGCTACCAACGACCCTCAGGTCAAGGAGACCTGAGCCATTGAAGTACTCCTGTCATCTGCCATCATATTCAATGGCTCCTCATTGCCTCATTACGGAGGCCACAGCTTTGTCTTCTGCCCAGGTCGGGCCTCTCTGGTGCTCTAAGTTGCATCAACGGCCCACTCCTGGCAGCTGCGGCCTTTCTGCATGGTGCCCTCTCTGCTTCTGTGTCTTCCCATTTGAGCTTACCACACACTGGGCTCCCCCAGCCCCAGCTGCCCTGGGACACCTGCCCTGGCTCCCCAGCACTCTGGTTTCCCAAGTATGCATTTGTTCCCTCCACAAGTATCCACTCCTCAGAGCAACTCCCGGCTGGCTGCGTTATTCCAGGTGCTGGGGCAGCAGGCGGCCAGGCGGCTGGAAATTCCTGGCTTGGGAGTGCCTTAATACCTCACGCTACCCTGCCCCCAGGCTGGGTCTGTGTCCTCCCAAGGCTGCTTGTGTTCTCAGGCTCTCTGGCAGAGGCACCCGGCATTGTGTGAATTCATGTTTGGATACAAGATGCATTTGAGCTGGACAGAGGGAGGAAATGGGATTCTAGGGGTGCGGGAGCCCTGGGTGTCATGCGAAGAGCATGGTGCGTGTTGATCCCAATTGCACCTTACTAGCAGGATGGCCTCCAGCATGTGTGACGCATTCAGAACCATGTGTGTGCCTCACAATCGCTCTGTACAGAAGTGAATCCTTGCCTAACACAGAATAACAGGGGTCTGAGGGTGGACAGGCCTGGATTCAAGCCTCACCTGCCCGCCAAGGAAGTCAGGGACTGGACTGAGCTTCAGTTTCCTCATCTGCCTGCTGCCTATGACCATCTTTCTGTGGAAGCTAGCTGAGGCCTCATGAGGCAAGACTTGGACCCTTAGGGCTCATGGACCCTGGGAAGTGGGTACACCCATCTCTGCCCAAATGCTTCTTGTTCCAGGAAGTTTTGTGCTTTCTCTTGAACTCCCATAAACACATCCCTGTGCCTGTTAGCAGCCTTAGCTATAAATTGCGGTCCTGGCTGACCAGTCCTGTACTACCAGATAGCCCGGCCCTGAGTCTCCAGAATGCGAGATGAAGACAGGCTTAATGACTGAAACCCAGAAGACTGCTTGACAGTAGGTAGACGCTCAGAATATACCACTTTCCAGGCCTTCATCTTCCTACTCAGTCTCTACTGGCCTGCCAGCTCACAGAGTCATGGATTCAGCCCTACAGTCTCTAGAGGTGGGAGATGACAGAGTCAGAGAGTCCATGTAGGACATGATGCCCTAGGGTGGCCCTGGGGTCACTCCCCCTGTTGCTCAAGCCTCTGTTCCAGGTGCCCCCTCTGTGACCTTGCCCACCATGAAATTTGCCTCTTCTTCCTTATGACTAGGGCACCTTGCCCAACACTGGTCTCTCACCCCTGGGCTACTTCTCTGGGAGGCTTCTCCACTGTCCACCCATCCTCTCCTGCCCAGCAGGCAGGCCATAGGTCATGGTACAGAGGGCTTTAGAGATAGAGCTGTGCTTCTGTGTGGTGCCATCATGACTTAAGAGTGGGCCTCAAGGCTATGGACCAAGGGACAGGGCCCCGTGCTGGGCTGGTCATTGCGCAGGCTGCAGCAGCCTTCTGTTACATGTGAAAAGACCAGCACATTGGCACCTGACCTGTTCTGCCCACCCAGCTCTGTCTCACAGCCTATTGGTTATGAGTGGTACAGGGTGTATGGAGTCCCAAGGTGAGGGTGTGGGGGTCCAGACATACCTCTGTCACAATGGTGTCCCTGGTGGTATTGTAGACCCAGCCATCCAGGCAGGGCTCAGTGGCCACCTGGGTGGTGTTGGGCATGCTGCTGTTGGGCTTGTGTGCCAAGCGGAGGCACTTCTCAGGCTTCCCACTGGGGTCCAGGAGGGGCATCCAGGTCTCCTCAGAGGCGTTGGGGGGTGGGCGGCAGTGGTGAGCAGGGGTGGTGGCTGTGAAGATCTGCAGCAGGTTGTGGTTGGCCATGCCAAGAATCGGGAAGGCGAGCAGGGCTACGTGCAGGTACTGGAAGCGGCCCATGCTGCCCACTCGCTCCAGGAGGTCTGAGAAGGTCATGGCGCCACGAGGGAGGAGCTGGAGCTGCAGGGGGATCTGGCTGGGGAGAGGGGCACGTATGTGTATCTGATGTGTGTGCATGTGTGTGAAGATGTGGACTCGGAGGTATCCACAAACTCACCTATGGACAGGGGCTGTGTCCAGCTATGTGGGGCATGCAGGAGCAGGGTGTCTGCAGGTGTGTGGACACAAGGGCACAGCTCTGAGTATGTGTGCATGTGCATGTGTATATGCTCAGCTAGGCTGATCACATCTGCCTCTGCCTGGGATGGCAGGGCCCAGGGGCTGCCGAGGTGGGAAGGGCCCAGATTTCCCCAGGTGGTTGGGGATTTCCCTGATTGCTCCAGACAGATGCACTGGGGAAGGGACAATTGGGGAGGCTCCCGGAGCCTGGAGGCTCTGGCTTCAGTGTTTCCCTCAGCCTGAGTCCCTGTATCAAGGCACAGAAGAGCCCAAACTGTTCTTGGGGCATCCGGGGTAGGGATGGCCATAGCACGGAATCAGAGCCTGGCCTAGGGGTGCCTGGGTGAGGGCTTGGGTACCCTTGTCCCTTCTCACCTGGTGGCTGGTCTTCTCTGGTGGAATGGTGGAACCGTCACTGGAGCCCTTGCTCTGTCCTAGGTAGGGTCCGGCAGCTGCTGGGTTGGACTGCTTGGCTCCAACAAAGCTGTGTTTGGGCCTCCCCAGGGGGGCTTATATAAGGCATAAGCTGCTTCCCAGGCTAATGTTTGACTTTCTTTGCAGGATTAACATCCGGCAGGGAGAGTGCTGTGGACCCAACAGGCCCAGGTCTGAAGAAAGGGCTGCCTCAGCGCAGCCTGGGGGTGGGGAGAGGCTGAGGCTGGGGGCTCCTGGATGGCTCGGTGCTGGTGGCCTGATGGGCTCACCCTGGGTCTTCTGGGAACCCCCAGGTTCTAGGATCCTCCTGAACTAACATCCTGGGACAAGGAGCTGAGCCTAGTGGCAGGAGAGGAGCTCCTGACCTCGAGGGGGCAGTGTGCTCCACCATTCTGCCCCTTCCTGACTGGCATTTCTAGGTGGGTCCGGGGTGTTCTGCCTCAGACAGAGGGTGTCTGGTGTTGTCCTCAAGCCTCTGACAACACAGCAGTCAGGATCTCCTAGCCCTGGGACGGCTGCTGGGGACCCGCCCCAGCCCCTGTGGTTTTGTTTATTCTTTGGACATGATTTTAATTATATAACAAGTTTCTTGAAGTGTAGAAAGTACCGATAGGCAAGGGCAAACCAAACCAAATCCCAGTCTCAGCTGGTGGGGGCATTCTGAGGGATGGCAGGGAGTCACATCTAGGCTCACACAACCCGGATGAGGTGGTGTTTGCCTCAGGGCCTGGATTCTCCTCCAGGTCTGAGTGTGTTTGTGGGACCCTCCTTGGGAAAGTCAGCCACTGCTCTCTATCATGTTGGTCACCTCTGCCTGCCTGTTTCTCATCCTCTTAGGTGTCTGGGGGGAGTCCCCATTGTCTTTCTGTGCCCCTCTACTATAGTGTATCCAGCTCCAACCTCTATCCAGTACCCTGAGATCCCCCTGCAGGTCCAGTACCTCCACCCTGCTTACTCCCTGGGCCAAGGAGATTATTGATGTTCTTCAGAGGCCCTAGGCAGCGTGAGATACAGCCATCAAAGGATGATTAAATTACTATCCAAGGTTGTTTTAGGAAGGTTTTCACCCTAAGGTGCAGGGAATTGGCTGGCTGACACATGAGACCCCTGCTCTGAGTCTTTGCCCTCTTAGAGATTTTCTGGTTTTCAGTTTGCCTGGGCTGTCCATCTGCGCTGTCCCAGAGGAAGGCTGTTCAAAGGCACCCGGCTATTTCCTTAGGCTGCTGGGGTCTAGCCAGAGTACACAGTCCCTACTGCCCTGCGGGGACAGCTGCATCCGGGTGTCCCCAGCCCCCGGCGGATGCCACTGGGTTCCTGATACCTGGATCAAGGTCACCTCCCCTGGGCCTTTCATTTCTCTTCACTAGTTAAGTAGCTTTGGGGAAAAAAAAGCTTCAGAAATCTTTTATCCAAATAGGATATTGGGTTCAGAAGATCAATCTATAAAACAGATACAGAGGAGCTCTGGCTTGAGGGAAGAGGCGGCCATGGAGCTTGCTGTCCTTACCCTCAGCCCTAGGTAGCTCCACTGGGGAGCCTCTCCCCTGTATTAGGGTCATCACTTCTTACCTGGTGTGATCTTCAACTCAGATGTGTTCAAACTGACTATTCACAAAAAGGAATTATACATGTAGCTAATCTTACATGCTAAGTATGTTTTTAGTTTGGTGTGCAGAAATAGATTTTTTCTCTTCTCTCTCTCTTTCTCTCTCTCCTCCTCCTCCTCTTTTTCCTCCTTTTCATCTTTGTGTAAACTCTTCCAGAGTCTTAAACTGAACTGGATTTGATTTCTACTATGCTCTGGCAGTTTCTGGCTTTGAGCAGGAAAAGTTCAAAAAATCATCTAGTCCACCATCCTCATCTTACATGGAAGAGAAAATGAGGTCCAAAGACAAGGAACAAGTGTCTGATTTCCAGCCTCCCTGAAACCTTCACAGTAGATAGTTTTCTGAATCTTAAGTCCTTTGAGGCAGAGGAATCTTATTCTCAGGGTCAGTGGATGAGCAGAGGACCTCATTGAATATTCATAGGGCCATCTATCCTCCTACCACTCATCCATCCATCTACTCACCCACCCTCCCATCCAACCATCCATCCATCCATCCATCCATTCATGTATCTACCCATCATCCATTCATCTATCCATCCATCCATCTACCCATTCACACCCATCTCCCCATCTGCCCATACATTTATCCACTCACCCATCATCTGTCCATCCATCCATCTATTAATAATTTATCCACCCATCATCCATTTGTCTGTCTATTATCATCCAGCCATCCAACAACCCATACTCATCTGCCCAACCATTCATCTACCATCAATTTACCCATCCGTTACTCACTCATCATCATTTGCATATCCATATATCCATCCATCCATCATTCATCCTTCCATTTAGTTATCCATCATATTCCATCCACCATTCCATCCATCACCCATCCACTATCCATTATCTATCCATCATCTACCATCATCCATCATTCATCCTACCCACCATAAATTCATCAATCCATCCACATCTATCCATCTATCCACCCATCATGTATTCACTTATCCCCCACTCATCTATCATCCATCCATCCATCCATCCATCCATCCATCCATCCATCCATCCATGCATCACCCATCCAATGTGTACAACTGGTTTGTATGTTTGAAGGCTCATGCTGGGAACCATGATCCCTACCCTACCTTACCCTGTGTTATATGCAGTTTAGGAACAAATGTAGCACCAAGGAGACTAACCTCAATGGTACAGGAGATGACTTAGTATGAGGACTGGGATTGGAGTGGGTTATCTGAAGAAGGTGGCACTTGCGCTAACATCAGCTTTCTTTCTTTCTTTTGGTATGGGGGATAAACCCAGATATTTGCACCAGCTAGGGAACTGTTCTACTACTGAGCTACAATCTAAGTTCTTTTAAAATTTTATTTTGAGACAGAGCCTCTGAACATTGCCCAGGCTGGCCTTCAACTCAAGATCTTCCTGATTCAGTCTCCTGATGGGTGGAATTACAAGCATGTACTCTCTGCCTGACAACCCCAGGTTCTGACAGTTGTGGGTGGGTGAAAAGGGGTCAGCAGGGAGAACTGGAGAAGTGTGTGAGTTCAGGGTGGACTGGGAAGTAGATAGAAAAGTGATGGATCAGCAGGGGCAGCACCTCTTTCTTTAGGGGTGTGGTCTTGGGCTTGGGCAGGAGGTCTCTCTCCAACAGCTCAGAGAAGCTGGTGCTTACTGGGCTTCTCTATCCCTTGGGTGGGAATGAGAGGCTCCTGAGGCTTGCACCAGGAGCCAACTGAGGCAGGCTGGCTGGTACCAAGCTTTAGCTCTCTGTCCCTTGCCTCTTGTCCCTTTTAAGTCTGCCACCAAGCAAGATAGCCATCAACTGCTGCTGTCTCTGCCCAGGGCTGAGCAGGAGTTGTGGGCTTGTGAGCCCTGTCCAGATGCTCAGAGTGGCCCTGATGGGGAAGGTGAGGGGGTTGGCAGATCCTCAGGGCCAGGGGGAACCACTCCCTGGTGGCTGAGCCCAGCTTCTCAGCCTGGACTTCATCACTGACTGTTAGACCTCTGAGTGTGTGTGGGGGCCCTGCCAGACCTAGCTTCAAGGCAATCTCTACCATTGCCCCTCCTTGTTCCTTCCGTGGGTCAGGACTGACATTGCCTCCTTTGACCAAGGAGTCAGGCAGGAACATGAATCTTGACTCCATCACTTGCTGGCAGTCCTGTAAGTCTCAGTTTCTCACTGTAAGATGGGAACATGGGATTGCTGGGATTTCAGGTAGAGGTATAAGGCACAGAGCCAAGCTCATAGTGAATGCTTAGTTTTAGGGTTGGCGGAGGGAGTGGGCTGAGTGCTCCACACAGGAAGAGGAAGAGGAGGAAAGAAAGGAGGGAGAGGAGGAAAAAGAAGAGGAGGAGAAAAAGAAGGAGGAGGAGGTGGCGGCTGACAGGTGACTCTTTGGCTTTGGGATGTTGGGCTTCCCAAGACCTCTGGGATTCCTGGAATAACCTTATCCAGTCCTGCTGGAGCCCATCACGTGGTTGGACACCTGGTCTTCCACTGTCACCTCACATGGCAAGTACCATGGGGACAGGAAGGGGACCCTTAGATCCAGGCAGTGACTTGGGTCCAGGGCTGGTAGGGCTGAGAATGATGGGGAGTCACCCCCTTCTGGTGTGTGCTATGCAAGACATCTCCTTTCTCAGGATGATGTTGCTCTGGAGGAGACAGGGACCTAAGCATCTCTGTGATTCTCCAAGGCTCCCACCCTGGAGAACTACCAAGAGTTCTGGGAAAGGATCTAGGTGCACCACAGTTCCCATCCCCAGCACAGCTTTCTGCTCCTCCAATGTCTCAAACCTGAGTGTGACCCAGTGACTTGTGTGAGTGGGTGGCAGGTGCCCTGTATGTGGGTGGCAGCAGAGCTGCAGAGCCATCCCGGTCTGAGGGGGGCAGCGGCGCCCAGCACTGGCTGTTGTTGCCATGGGGACATGTAGGCTCCAATGCCAGATCCTCAGAGACTTTAAAAATAGCTGGAAATCTGGACTTCTGTGTGAACATTTTCCAATTGTGTGGGCGACCCAGCCTCCAACCTTCTGGAATTCCTTTGTCTCTCTGCTTCCTCAGTGCAAAGGGAGGAGGGTGCTGGGGTTTGTGCCTCTCCCTGCTGGTCTCCAGTGCTTGCCCATTCTGCTAGCATCCAGGCGGGGCCTTGTGCAGAAATGGGTGCTGGAGATGTGTTCCAGGGAGACATAGTGTCACTTTGGGGTTTGCAGACCCACAGGGGGCAGCAAGGAAACAGGAACCAAGGAGCCCATGTTTTGTGTCTGCACCCTAGGCTAGTTTCCCACATGGTTCCCCTTCTGGTTAGAGTTGTATGGCTTCCTCTAGAGACACCATGCACAGTGGGTGGTTGCATCTGGATTCATATCATCCCCCTCCTAGATTGTTTCAAAGGCCAGCTCCTTCCTGGCTCTTCTCCCAATGCCACCTCCTCCAGGAAGACTTCCAGGGCCACTTTAGCCCTCGAGAGAAGTGCCCTGGCTCTAGGAAGCCTTCTCAAAGTTGCCATGTGCTTGAGGCCTACTCTTGCTGGTTGAGAGGTGAGGAGAACAGGGCCTGCTGTTTGTTCAGTTCTTTCATTTCTGCAGATGAACCCCAGTGACAAATCTCAAAGTTGGAGGTTGTCAGTGTGCCAAGGGTGCAAAAGTCCCTGGCCTCATGGGTATCTGGGACTCTGCAGGAGAGTTCAGATGGGTGCTGCTCTCTGCAGTTCTTGGCTTGTTCCCTCCTGAGGAGAGAAGGGCCCTGAGGGACAGAGGCAGTTTTCCTGTGATGGAGACACAAGTTGGTCCTGTGTGTGGAGGTCAGATAACTCAATGGTAAAGGCACTAACAAGCAGACCTAGCTGTGTGGCCCAGCAGGTCTAGGCTGGATGGGCCAGGTGTCTGGAGAACCCTAGCTGAGTGGGGCAGGC